TGTTTGATAGTGCTTTTAAATACTTATAAGCTGGTAAAATATCATTTTTAACTACACATTTCTTAAAATTCACGATTTTTAGCTACTTTTTCGCCAATCATTCCTTGACATCCATTGATTATAAGCACTTAAAAACATTACGATAATTTGATTAAAAATGTATGGTACAAATTGGTTGTATATGAGCTGCACGCACATATATTACAGTCGTGTTCGAGTTGTATGCATAGGTTTGGTAAATATATAAAAACAAATAAAGACAGTGACTTGTGTTTCTTAATCATGTCATCAAACTCAAAAATATCTAGCAGGAAAACTGGGGGCGTTTCATCTTTGCTTTTGCCTCCAATTAATGACTAATCGACTGTTTGAATATTTAAATCCACTCATTTAATATTATTAATAATTTTCTTACCAATCATAGGAGGTTTCGTGGTCAAAATTTCTCTGGCTTTCCCTATCCAGCATTCATCATATTTCACATTCGTTTACATATTGAGTTTAGTGTGTATAAATTTAAATATTTTAAATTTTTGAAGAGGTTTATATGCATGTAATAAGTATATTAAGTCAGTCTTTATTAAACGTAAAAAACATGTTGGTAAGTAGTAATCTCATGATTATCTGAAGAATTATGGGAACATATGCCATGTAATTAAAATATCTTAAGAATTTCTCATTATATAAATTATCATCTAATTGATTTTGATAAGATCACGAGTGATGAACAAACAAATTTGAGCTTATATCGCCATCCCTTGCATGATGATTTTATTATTATTAATTTTTTTTTTTTTTATGACGTAGTAACCTGCAGCCGCTACCCCTTAGCGGAGTCATGATCACCCCAAAGGGGCGGAGGCCCGACACTGTGAGTGCGCACTGAGTAAACCTCGCTCTATGTACAATAACCCGCAAATCACGTAGAAGAGGTAAACCGTACTAGACAAGCCCGATGCGACGGGCTCGACCAAGGAAGTATTGGCAAGGGATTCGAACTTGTGACATTCGGTCTCCGCGTTCACCTACTCTACTAACTCGACCACCCCCAAATGGGTATTATTATTTAAGTTGGAGTTGCCGACCATGTTTTTGTAAGAGATACGCTTGAGAATGCCAATTTAAAATCCGACCGCTTGCCTGAGCATTTGAGCTTTAATATCACGTTGAATTTTAAAGTTTCATCTTAATATAACAATCTTATTGAAAACCCTAGTTAAAAATAATTATTATTCTCGTTTTTAAAACCACGTGAGATTTTATCCTAAGTCTCGGACACTATTCATATAAATTGACTTTTAAGGGTTTAATTAACTCAAAAGAAATTAAAAGACTATAGCTTCCGCGGCAAGGAGTAATTGAAGATTGGAGCTAATGGCAGCAGCTTGCCAGATTCGCAGAATTAGGTAAAATCTGAATTTGAGACGAAAGATTTAGTAGGTGTGAGGAAAATCCTAAAAATGGACATATAAAGAAATAGGAACCAGAATACTCTCTTCTTAAATTAATAACCTTATTTCTTAAAATATCATCGAAAGATTTAAGTTAACATCACATTTGAGTCCTTTTAGTACGAAAAGGATGAATCTCGTACCCATGTTAGTGTTGTAGGTTCCATAATGTATGGTGCAGTTAGCACATGACCTGATTTAGGTAATAAAATCAATGTCTCGAGCTTGAGCAGGTACATGTCAAATCCAAGTGAACATCAC